ATTGTAGCTCTGTTATTTCACCTAAGGTGAAACACAGCTTAGGACTGCTTCATAAATCCAAGTAATTTCAAGAAATTCTTTTTTTTTTTCTTTTTTTTTTTTTTGGTTTTTCGAGACAAGGTTTCTCTGTATAGCCCTGGCTGTCCTGGAACTCACTCTGTAGACCAGGCTGGCCTCGAACTCAGAAATCCGCCTGCCTCTGCCTCCCAAGTGCTGGGATTAAAGGCGTGCGCCACCAATGCCCGGCTATTTCAAGAAATTCTTACTGGCTATCTACTACCAAACTTCACAGAGGATGCAAAGGTGACTAGCTGACCTAACCGTCTCTGCCTTTGAAGAACCTGCATCACGGATGCTGAAGTGCTCCAGGTTGTTACTTTCCACTCTGCCGTGCTATTAGAAGAGTTTGGAAAGTTTTTTTTTTTTCAAAAATATTACACCCCTGAAATTCCCTTGGCATTCAAAGTACAGGTTCAAAACAGTTCTGCTAACGAGATGCACTTAAGACAAAAACAGGTCTGACTTAATACAGGCTATCTCCTGGTATTTGTGGCCATTTGCAAGCAAGTTATGGTGACATGAATGTGATTTGTAGGCTCCTCTTAAGGTCCTCATGATGGGAGAGTCAGTAGCAGTATCCTATTATCAGTTCCGCACCTACATTCTAATCAGAATAGCTCTGCCTCGTGTTGTTACAGCATGTGGGTGGTCTGCAAATCTCACGAGTCTAAGACAAATTTCCCTCAACCCAAAATGTTTCCTGGAGGTGTGGCTCAGAGATCAGAGTTCTTATGATTTTGTGGCTCTTCCATCTTAGGTCAAGGTGTCCCCCATAACTATGATGGCAGGGGAGAGATGGTCCAGATAACTGTTCAAAGATTTACTCCTTCTCATCTCATAGAGTAGAGGCTAGAACAGTGTTTCTTAACCTGTAGGTCATGACCCCTTTGGCAAACCTCTCCAAAATATTTACGTTACAATTCATAACAGTAGCAAAATTACAGTTATGAAGTAGCAACAAAAGTAAGTTTATGGTTTGGGGGGGGGGAACCACAGACCAAACAGGTGATGTGTCTTGGCATTCAATATCCTACAGATTTCCAAAAGAAATGTTATAGATTATATATACACACACACGCACAAATTTGTGTTGGGTTTCAGTAGAGAATGCTGGCTGAATTAACTGTGTGCTCACAGCTTTCTGGTCCCTTGCTTGGCTCTGTTCTCAGCCCTGTATGCCCTACGTATCTGTCTCCTCTAAAGCACATTTTTCAGGGCCCTTTAGTCTCTGGCTTGGGCTGGTTTGGCATCATAAGAAGCACCTGCAGGAGATCAGAACAGAGGAGGTAAGGGATAGCAAGGTTATTTCTCCCCGCCTCTCTGCCTGGGGTTGGCACTGTACGGAATCCTTTCATTGAGCCTTCCTCTTTTAAATACTGGGAGTACTGGACTGTTTCCTGCCTACATCCTGACTCATGCCAGGTGTTTAATAATCAAAATGTAGGCTGCCTTCCAGTGTTACTACAGCTGGAGAGCCTTATAAAATTCAGATCTGAATATGGTTTGAAATGCCTCTGGTTTAAGACAACAATGGCTCTCCATTACACCAGTTTCCAAGTAGGACTCTGAACTGCAGACAGACAGAACTAATTTCAGTTCCCTCTGCAACATAGTATCTCTTCCTCTGAACCGCTCAGCATGAGAATAGGACAGAAACTGTTCCCCACCCTGACCATCATCTCAGGCCTCAGCTCTAAAGTCACTAATCCCAGAAACGCTTTCACAAGCCTACTTAACTTGTTAGCTGGTGTTATTTTCTATCACAGCCCACTCCCTTCTCCATCACTTACAGACCACTAGCTGTTACATTGCACTATAACTCTGCTTTTTTTTTTCTATGTCCTCCATAGGATGTAGCATCTGTGATGCACCTCAGGTCTATAAGGTGCTCAGCACATAATAGTAACTCAGTAAGTACTACAAAGTTCCTGAATACTGCTGAAAAGTTTGAACCCTCCTTGGACTAATGTCAACTCTCATTCAATGACAAAAATCAGAAAAACCCTTTTAGTCATCCTTCCTCATAGCTACCTTCTGCTCACTTACAGGACCGTTTTAATATCGCTTTGCCAAGATCTTTTATGGAAAATTCCCTTGCCAAGGTTACCAATGACCTATGAGCTCTTCAATTCTATAGCTTCTTTTCAGGATTTGCAGTGCACGGACATATGCACTCATTCACACACACACACACACATTGTGTGTGTGTGTGTGCCAGAGGTCAACATCAGATGTTTATATAGCTGCCAGCAAGCCCCAAGAATCCTTCTCTCTCTGCATCCAGTATCCCAGCAGATCTTAATAACTAATGTTACAAGGTTTGAACTCTCTCTTGGTCTCTTTCTCAGGCTGCTTGTTTTGGGAAGCCTTCACAGTCACCTCCTCCTCCATCTGGCCATCAAATACTCTCCATCTTATCCGCCTTTTGGGCTTCCGCCATCAGTGACTACCACAATTCCCAAATGCATCTTTTCAACCTTAACCTCTCACAGGCACGAAGGCTCGGCCTTGCTCCCTGAAAACAGCTCAGACTCTCATTCTTTGCCCTCTCCCCGTCTGCCCTCCTGCCCACAGTGTTCAGTCCCTCTGCTTCTGCAAGCTACAAACATCAAAGTCCACTAACACTTCCCCCATCTATTTCTGTCCCACAAGGCAGCAAACTTCTACTACCAAATTAACTCACTCAAATAGTAAACCCTGTCTGAGTCACCTGGGGTACCTCCTACTTTCTCTCCCAAATCCTAGTCTTTAAAATTCATAAAGCCGGATAATTTTCAATCCATCACTTCTTATTCCAATTTCTACTTAGGGTTGGTTTTTTTTTCTGTCTTAGATTCTGTCTTTTTTAAGTTGCTATATATTGTTATTCTTGTGTGGGGTTGAGAGATACATGTATGTGGAATTGTGCATGTCATGGGGGTGTTTGGGTCTCAGAGGACAACTTTGCGGAACTGGTTCTCTTTCCATTTTTACATGGATTCTCAGGATTGAAGTCACACACTGCAGCCTGATTTTGACTTTAAAAGTTTTTTTTTTAAATATATTGATTTAATATTTATAGAATGCAAGTGTATTTGTAGGTGTGCACGCCTCACAGTGAACCTGTGGAGGTCAGAGGCCAACCTGCAGGATTAGACAGTTGTTTCCTTCCACCAGGTGAGGTCCAGGGATCAAACACATGTCCTAAGATTGGCTGCAGGTCCCTTTGCCCACTGATCCATCTTGGTCAGCCCAGGGCTTTAAAATTATTACAAGCAGCTTTTGGGTTTTGGTCATGGAATCTAGCCAGTGACTGATGGTTTAGGCAATTAAAATATTTTATATGAATAAATAAATAAGTGGGCTGGAGAGATGGCCCCAGCAGTTCCAGAGGAAACTGGTTCAAGTCTCAAATTCACAGGGCAGCTCACAACTGTCTGTTAAGAGTTTAAGAGTATTGGACACTGTTTCTGGTCTCTGCAGTTACCAGACACACATGTGGTACACAGGCACCCAGACACATAAATGGATTTTTAAAAAAAAAAAAAAAAGGTAAAGGAGTGATCTACAAAGAAGAATCTTTTTAATTACACCGTTTCGAAGATTAAAAAGACCAGATCCCAGGCTAGGGATGTAGCTCAGCTGTGAGGTAGCTTGCTAGCATTCGTGGAAGTCCTAGGTTCGAGTCCTAGAACTGCACAAATCTGATATGGCGGCACATTCCTATCACCCTGACTTGAGGATCACAAGTTCAACATCATCCTTGACTACATGGGGAGTTTGAAGCCAGCCTGAGCTAGAGACCTTGACTAAAACACAAAACAAAACAAACAACAATAACTACACGAACCCTCCCTAAAAACACTATGCAGCTAAGTTGATAACATACATTTTAACAATAAATTCTCTCTCTCTCTCTCTCTCTCTCTCTCTCTCTCTCTCTCTCTCTCTGTGTGTGTGTGTGTGTGTGTGTGTGTGTGTGTGTGTGTGTGTGTGTAGGCAATTGTTATTCATCTAAGAAGAATTTTTTTTAAGTCTGCCTTCAGAATCTGACTTCGTGTGTTATGGTTCACAGTATGGAGAGATTTTTAAAAGGAAAAATATTTTAACTCCTCTGGTCCTTTTTCTTTCTTGGGTGACAGAAATTAAATAAACAAACCATCAATGACAGGAAACACAAGGCACAGCCCCTTGCTTGGGCACTTGGTATGGCCACAGCACATTTTAATCTTTTCCTTTCTCCTACCCGACTTTCATCTAATGTTTAAGAGGTAGTGATTTTAGAGACCCTACAGAAGATTTTTAGGTTTGGGATTCTGTTTGTCTCTATTTATCTTCAAACCCAGAGACTGTGAAATCACTGGAGGGGGAGGGGAGGAAGGAGGGCGGTGCAAACCCAGAAAGGAAAGGCGCAGAGGAAGCTGCAGAAGGAAGCTTTTTCGGCTGGGTTTGTCTTTTTTTAACCCCGGGGAGGCGTGCCGAGCTCGCTGCCGTCGCGTGTTAGCTTGCCCAGCTTCCCCGGCTGGGGCGCGCGCCCGTCCGGAGCTCCTCCGCCCTCCGCAGACCTCCCGCTTCCGCGCTGGGTGCGCTTCCGGCCGCGGCCGCTGGGGGCGCCCCGGGCCGGGAGGGGGCGGCGACCGTTCTCCTAGCGGCGCCTCTCTCCCTGCTCGCGATCAGACGGGCGGCGGCGGCGGTACCGAAAGGGCGCCCACTCCCCGGGCGAGCTGCAAGGCGACCGCTCCTCGCGGGCGGCCGGGGTCCGCGCTGCAGCCGCCGGTGCTCTCCGGCCCGGGCTGCCGCGACAGGCGGCCCCGGCTCCCGCCGACTCGCGGCGCCCCCCGGCTGCGCCCCCACGCGCCGCTCGCGGCCCGGGCCATGGGGCTGGGCGGATCCGAGGCTCGGCCGAGCTGAGGCGGCGGCGCCAGTCCGCACAGCCCGCTCGCCGACGCCTGGCCCTCACGATGATGAAGAAGAAGAAGTTTAAGTTTAAGGTGGACTTCGAGCTCGAGGAGCTCTCCTCGGTCCCCTTCGTCAACGGGGTCCTCTTCTGCAAGATGCGGCTGCTGGACGGCGGCAGCTTCACCGCCGAGTCCTCCAGGTAACGAGCCACGGGAGCTGCTCTCCCGCGCCCGCCCGCAGGCAGGGGCTTCTTGCACGGCCAGCATCCCTTTCCTTGCTTGGCCCCTTTGCTCTGTCGATCTGCCAGCTCGGTGAGCTCATCGTCCTCCAGAGACGAGTCTGAAACCAGTCAGGGCATCGAAGCACTAAGTGCTTCGCAGTGGGCTGGGCTGGTTGTCCTGCGCTCCTCTCTCCAGGTGGCCCCTTGAGTCGGCTTTCCCCTAGTTCTTCAGGAATGGGAATGGTGGAAACACAGAAATGATGCTTCTGGTTTCTCCAAAGACATTCCCATATTTGCAAAATACAAAGTAGACCTTAAAGCTGTGAGAAGCAAAAAATGACCCAAACTGTTACAGTCCAAGAGCTCCCACTCGGAACCGCCTGCAGTTGACATAATTCCTGAGACTTTACTGGGACTTAGGGTGGCCACGATAGAGCTTGGGATACGCCTGGGCGGGCTTGAGTCAAGTGTTCCTGGCAGACAAGACTATGTAGTCTTTGGCTTGCCTTAGAGCTATGTCCCCAGTTAATGTGCTTACATTTTCAGTTACCCATCTTCAAGTGGCCACTAGTGGGTCTCAGTGAAGGACTTAGAATCAAGAGAGCCCAGACTTGTCCTCCTTTTCAAAATGAGCACCTAGACACTGAGAAAGAATCTAGCAGCAGGTGACAACGCAGCCATGTATGGCAGGATTCCTTGAGTAATTTAAGGGCAGGTTACAGATTGATAGATTTGCTCTTAGATATTTTTTCTCTTCAAGAAAACAAAAGAATTTGAAGAAGATTTGGAATGAACTTTTAAGTTCTTAAAGTCAAGGAGAAGGGCTAATCGTCAATGTATATTTTGTCTACATATACTTCATTTTTACCCTAAAAAATATTCTTCTTATCTGTTGTCCCATTAATAATGTAAAGGAAATAATGTCAATGGGTTATAGGATGGAAGCCAGAAAAGTGCCCTCTGTGGCAATAGTGAAGCCCATGGAAGCCAGGAAATGCCTAATTGCCTAAATGAACAGATTGCGAGGCGCTATTGATCCTCAAAATTATATTTTAAAAAAATCCAGAGGATAAATTTCAATATTAAACTGTGATGACAAACCTGTAGGCATTCAGCTAATTGATTATACAGCCATTTTAACACTCCTGTCAGTGAACAATGAACTGTGGGGAGGAAAAATAATACATACATACATACATACATACACACACACACATACACACACGTATATGTGTGTGTATGTGTGTGTGCGCGCGCGCGTGTTTGTGTGTGTGTGTGTGTGTGTAATTTACTAGCTCTTGCGATGGAAATCCTGAACGCCATGCAGCGGTCAAGTGACAGAGAGCCTTACCCTGAGACCTAGATAGAGTTTTCCTGGAGGTTTCTTACCCCCTCCCCCCACTTGGAACTGATAGGCTTAAGCCTCCGCCTCAGTGGTGACACCTGGTGGTCAGAATATGGGCCTACCACCTTCTTTCTCTTCTACCTCCTCTTCAGCATGGAGTGTTGTTGATTTGGCTTGCTTCATCTCACAAGCCAGTTAGTCATCAAAAGCAGTCCGTCTGTCCTTCCCTCCCCCCATCCCACCCCCACCACTCCCAGCACACATGTCCACTGGGCCTTTTAAACATACTTTCTTATTTACTACCCTAAGCAGGGCTATGAGGTAGAGATTCTTATGCTAGTAAGTGAATTGAATCTTAGGAAGCATACCTTCCCAAGATCCCCTCCTGTCTGATCATGCAACACCAAGTTTCTGGCCCAGGTCTAACTTCAGACAGCGTGATGTCAGACAGAGGGAAATGGTGTGTGCTGTAGAAGAGATTCTGAGTAGGCAGCTGCCTAATGACTTAAGGTACACGAGCTATAATTGATTTCTCCACACAGGAAAAAATTAAAAGCCGGGTTGCCTGTGTTAAACAAACCCTTCCTCCAACTAAAATACGGCTTTTATCAAGAGAAATAAGATTAATAGTGCCCTAACTAGGGCTTAGAATGAGGTGGCAAATCTCAGTTCTACTGTGATAAACCTCCTTGGGTTTACTTAGGCATTCACAGCTAAAATTTGGAAAACTGAAACAGTCAGTGATTTGAAGCCATCTTGAGGATTTCCTAGGACAATGTGCCTGAAACACTTAAAGTACTTTGGCATTCGGTGATGAAGAAGCTTACTTGGATTTTCTACCAACTCCTTTATCCTACTAGAGTATTGGTTTAAGAACTATCCCTTGAGCCAGGTATAGTGGTGCAGACCTCAATCCCAGAACTTGAAGTAGAAGCAGAAGGATGGTAGCCTGGACTACATGAGACAGTCTTGAAACACACATGCCTGTGCACATGTGCACACACATACACACAGCAATAAAAAGAGCATACCTTCCTTTACAGGGAGAAATAGAATATCTGAAATAATCAAAATTACATAGCAGGTGCCAGTCTAAAGAATACATCCCTGAGTGCTAGATTTTAATTTGGAAAATTATTCTAGGGGACCTCTTTGAATCATAAATGTTTGAGTCTAACGTTTCTCCCGTAGCAATATGAAATGACTTCTGTGAGAAAGAGTTAAAGCAGACTCAAGACTGTCATTTTAGAAAGGCCTGCAGACAAGAGTGCCTTTGATGAGTGCCATGACCTTCTTGCCTGGATGACAAGCATGGCTTACTGTGCTTAGACTGCTTGTACAACTATGCGGTTCATGCTAAATGCCTTCTGAGAGCCTGGAAATTGCATCCCACTAAGCAGAAGACAGTTGCCTAAGCAGCCAGTCCTAGTTAAACCTGATAGGCATCCCTGTTAGACAGCACATCGCCCCCAATCCGATGCTAGAGAAGCTGTGAGCGGATTCTGCTACACAGTCCGGAACTATAATGTCTTCAGCGATGAGTACGACTGTATGCTGGGTCCATTGAGTTCTAAGGAATTGCCAAGCCCTAGGCATGGTCTTAGGGACCCCACGCAAAATAATATCCTTATTGTTGGAGAAGGGTCTTAGTGGACACACAGAAGGTTACAAACCACACACACACACACAAGTTGCCTTTGTTCAAAAACTAAATGTGCAGATGATTCATTGCTCACCAAATATCACTTAAGCTCTTAGCAGGTTTATAGTTCTCTATCAAGGATGTGGGAAGCGAAGCAAATACAAAATCCATGAGGGAATAGACTCTAATTAATGAAATTAGATCATAGATATCTAGTTGCTAGCTGGTGGGAGACATACGGCTTCCTACTTAATCAGCAGCGGGTCAGACTCTGTGTGAGTTTTGAAAAGGAAAAGTCTTTTATTTACAGCTATGATGTTTGCTGAAATCTGCATTGGCATTTCAGCTGAGCACGCCAAGAGGATGGATTTGCACTGAGAAGAAAGAGGTGAGAGGAGCGCTTGAGTGAGCCGTTAACAGGGTTGGTGCTACATCAGCCTGATGGCACAGAGTTCCCATGAACAGAGCAGCAGATAATGTTAGAAAGAGGCTTTGAATGGCATAATAGGGTTTGATTTCTCTGCTCGAAGGATACAATTCAATATTGTATTCTTGATCTGCATCGTAACGTGATTAAAGTAGAATTTAAGCCGGCTGGCTGGCTGGCTGGCTGGCAGCCTGCTGCTGTTTGGATGCAAGTGGCAAAAGATAGATTAGTGATGGAGAGACAAGTGAGAGGCTGTGAAAATAACCTGGGCCTAGTGAGAACCTGAATGCAAGCTTTTCTTTCGTGTCAGTAACTGACAGGAGATAATGCAGTGGCCAGTGCCTCCTATCGTTGACAGAAGTCAAGAAGTTGAGGTAAGGACCTTTCAGTTTTGTTTGGGGTGGGAGGAAACATTGTACATGGCTGTGAAGCAGTTCTCAACCTGTGGGTCATGTCAGATATCCTGCATATCAAGTATTTACATTATGACTCATAACAGTAGTAGAATTATAGTTACAAAGTAGCAGTGTATGTGTATGTATATGTTTTGGTTTGGTTTTTGAGACAGGATTCCTCTGTGTAGCGTAGATGTCCTGGAACTCACTCTGTAGGCTAGGCTCAACTCAAATTCAGAGATCTACTTGGCTCTGCCTCCCAAGTGCTAGGATTAAATGCAAAAAAGTATGCTCCACCACACCCAGTGTAATGGAATAATCTTATGGATGGGGGTCACTACAACATGAGGAACTGTATTAAAGGGTCATAGCATTAGAAAGGTTGAGAATCACTGCTCTAGAGGATATGAAGAGTGTATGCTTAATGTATTTCATCTAAGGTGACAGTGGGCCTGACGATTGAAGACATTGTTGTTTCAGTACATGTGTTTCTTATATTCTTGGCCTATTGGGGCTATGCAAGCCTGTTTATTCCCATTAGAATAGCTATATACTGGTTTGCCTGCTTATAGATGATTAGTTAAAATGAATTTTAGAAGTATCTAGAGTCTCCTGTGAAAGTTTAATCAGTTAAAAAAATGTTAGAAAAAATATAAAACTATTTTGAGTAAGTGACACTTAAAATGGTTAAGGCAAGTGGTTTTGGTCTCACCAAAAACGTTAGCAAAACATAGAATATACATTACAATGTTACAGTGGTCTATTCAACTGAAGCCAAGTGGCTGCCTAATAAAATAGTTTTGAAGACCTTTCAGAAAAACAGAACACTGTATCATTTGAACCTTTCCAGAACTCCCCTTAATAAACCATGTAAATCACTTTTAAAGCTTACTGGAGTTAATGAGGACATGTTTAATTCTGGTCTGTTTAAGCAAAGGCTTGATGGGAAGGAAATTTTCCTACATACCTGTGATTTCCCAATTTGTCTTGCATTTATCTGTGTGTTTATGTTAGCAACTAATAAGTTTCCAAGTTTCACATGAGCTTGTGGAAAAAACACATGTGAGCTCAGGGAGTATCCGGAAATCGAAGAGCACATCTGTGTATTGTATCTCTGACTTTGTAAACAAGCTAAAAGGATTTCTTTTTGTTTTTGCCAGAGAACATCTT